TTTTTTTTTTTTTCTTTTTTTTTTTTTTTTTTTTTTTTGTTCGTGCTAACTCAAACGGAGCCGCGTTTAATCAAATTCGAACGTTCGAGCCGGACGCGGAAGAATTTGAGCGGCACGGTTTTTTTTGTTTTTTCATCCCTGGCCCCAATTTCCTCCGGCCACTCTTTTTCCTTTTTTCCATTTTTTACAATTTCCGTGTGCGTTCTCCGACATCGGTCGTTACCAAAACGAGAGCCAGTAAACGTAAACGTTTCTTCAAGGTAGCCAGGCCACTTCGAATCGAGAGAGTGTTCCTGCAAGAGGGCTTGACGTAAGAGCACTTACCAATAGAGGTACGGCTTTTCTCGTTCGATATTAACGGAGTTGATGGGGTCCAGACGGAACCACGTGGTGAACGTGAATCCATTCTCGTGTGGCCATTTCGCGAGCGGCGGAAGCACGATCGCCTGAGAAGAAAAAGAAGAAGGCCGTGGAAATAATTAAACGAAGCTCGAATGAAATTAGAATTGACTTCGTTGGGGGGGGAATCCATTCTCGCTTGTTTTCGTTCGTTCGGCTGTTTCTGAAAATTCCCAAGAATTTGCAATTCTTGCATTTGCCGAGGCTTTCTTTCACAATTTTTTAACACGCGTTATTAGAGCTTAAAGCGCGAAAATGCGCCCGAAATACGATTAAAAACGATGAAAAGAACCTCTATGAGATTGCAATTTCCGAGTCAAGCATATGCCCGCTGTGTAAAAAAACTTTACTCGAACTTCCCGTAGTGGACGTTTCACCTTTGACTCTCGTACTCTTTCAAAGTTGTACATTAAAGGCGACAGCCCCCCCTCGAATAAGAAACTTCTTTCCCTCAACGTTCCCTGTCATATCGAAAGTTTCTGTCTCTGCGAGAACTCATTGAATAGCGGCCAACGTCTCGTCCTTCGCCGGACGACGGATTTTTATAGAGAGGTTCTATATTTTTCGCAAAATGGATTGCCATGTAGACGATGATGAACAAAATGTACTGTACGCTGCCGGAATTCACGCGACCCTTTCTCCTTGAAAGGGTTATTCGAAAGGGTTTAGTCTCTGACTTTAAAAGGAAAGACTCCACATTTTTTTCTTGTAATTTTGACTTGCTCGGAAATAATTTCGAAATTTGGCAAAATGTATGTTTTTTTTAATAACACAAATGCAAAACGTTTGATTTATTTCTATTACTTACACACGTTGATAAAACTACGGAAGAATACATACAAAAAAGAAATAATTCCGAAATTTGGCAAAATGTGTGTTTTTTTTAATAACACAAATGCAAAACGTTTGATTTATTTTTATTACTTACACACGTTGATAAAACTACG